TTCGTCAAGAAGAGATCGTCCAAGAAGTCGGAGGTGTTGGTTACGGTGAGCGTGTTGGACGCGAAGAGCTGCGGCGCGGAGACCTGCCCGTCGACACTCCGCCGCTCGTGGCCGTGAAGGTGCAGTCCAGGCTCTTGCAGTCCAGCGGGCCCGTGGAGGCCGCCCCGGTGACGGTCAGCGTGGAGCCCGTGAGCGTCCCGGTGGCTGCGAAGCTCGCCGCGGTCGCTGCGCCTGCCCGTGGACACGTCGCCCACCGTGGTGAAGTTCCCGGCGTTGGCCGTGTTGTTGATCGCCCCGGAGGTGCACGACCGCTTGGACTGGGCTCCGCATGAAGGTCGGGAAGGACTGTACGGCCCGTGCACGGCGGACATGGCGGAGCGCCTCGGCCTCTCTCTGTCGCCCTGCGAGAAGCTCGTGCCCTTCCTCGGCGTGCGCGTAGAAGAGGGCGTAAACGGCAAGCGCCTCAAGTTCTTGCGGGACGTGCTGGCGCCAGGATCTGGAGGCTGCACAGAGCCAACCGCTTTGCCTGCAGCCCCTTCATGGGAAGCTTAAGATCTCAAGATGGGGAGCGAGAGGGTGGCAAAGCTTACCCAGAACGCCATCTTTGGCCGCTGCTGTATGAACCCTCAAGTTCGAACACAAACGCCTACGTGGACCCGGCCAAGTTTGAGCGGGCCGTGGAAAAAGCTCCGTGACGAACTTCGAGTTCCAAATCAACGACTTGGAGGGGTTCCTGGCCTTCGTGGAGCAAGACCTGCAAGCGTGCCCACCCAAGTCGGCGCTCCAAGCTCATGATGGAGAAGGCCTACTACCTCCACATGAGGCTCTTCCCGAAGATGAGGCTGCTCTTCACGGACGACTCCGTGATGGTGCACTTCGAGCTGCAGAACCCGCTCCACGCCCGCCATGGCCGAGGCGAACCTGAGCGGCGCCGCCCTCTTCGACGTGGACCCCAAGAGAAACCTGAGCGCGCTCTCGGCAGCGGCGCGCGCCAAGGCCATCGAGTGAGGAGCAGCAGGCCCTTCGCAGTACTGCGGCTAAGGCGGCACGACGATCCGAAAGCCACTGGAGGAGCACGAGGTGCTGCAGAGGTGGTGCGAGGGGCAGGAGTACCGGGGCAGCGGCTGGCTGGCGCACGAGATCTTTCTGAGTGCCCGGCGCGGCGGAGAAGCCCTGGCCAAGCAGGCTGCGGGCTGACGGCGCCTACGAGCTGCGCCTGCGCCTCGAAGACGAGAGGGGCAGCTTGGGGCTCCGGGCGTACTGCTCCATGAGGCCCGCCAGGCTGGTGGGCTGTAACAGTCGCACGCCCGCAAAGGCCTGCCGCACCGGCGCCACGTGGTCTGCCAGAGAGATGCGGCGCGCTGCAGGCGCAACGGACCAACGCCAGCCGACAGTGTTGAGCCTCGGCTGCTGCCAGACCGGGCTTTGTGGAGGGCTGTTGCGACGCGAGGCAGTCCTGCCTGAATTTGTTGCCGTTCGTACTTGAAGGTTTTGCTGGCCGCAATGCCGCTGGGACCACACTGTCTCGGGCCACGTTGGCGCGGCGACGCTGCGGTGCGCGCTGGAGCGGATGGACGAGACCTGGTCCGAGGGAGCGCTGGCAAGCTTAGCGTGATAGGCCTTGGGCGCGCAACACAGAGGTGGTTAAGCGTGCGCAGCAGCAGCAGCAAGCTGAACGCGCGGGCGCGGACTTCTCTCATGCCTTCGCCTGCGAGGGAGACTTTGTCTACGCCCGGCGCTGAGCACCTACTGTCCCATCTACAACGCGGTTCTGGGCTTTGAGCACTGCTGGTGGCCAAGGCCCGGCGCATCCTGGACGCGCCGCCACGCTATCTTGCACAGGTGAAAGACGGACTGCCTGCTGACGCAGCGGCTGCGAGCGCTTCGCGGTAGAAGACGGCTGTGCTGGGCAGCAGCAGGGCCCCAAACAGAACAAGGCGAACGACCCCGTCAACTACTGCCTGGCGGACAACTTCTTCTCTCACAGGTGCGAGCGCCGGAAAGACGCACCTGGCCCGGACGATCGTTGCGAGGCTGCAAAAGCAGGGCGCGCAGTGCGCCTCGGGCTCGGGCTGCACCTCGGGCTCGGGCTCTAGCTGTGCCTTGCGGCTGGCTTGCTGCCTTGGGCGCTGCTTGGGCACGGGCGCTGCCTTGGGTGCTGCCTTGACCACGGGTGCTGCCTTGGGTGCTGCCTTAAGTGCTGTCTTGGACTTGGGCTGGGGGAGTGCGCTTGCCTTGGGCTTTGTGGGAAATCTCACCCTCTTGGGCCGGAAGGGGGAGTCGATTTCGTATGCTGGCTCTGCGGGCTACGACTTCACACTTCCTGCTGCGCTCGCTCGGCTTCCTTGGTGTTTCGTGGTCCAGTGGTTCAACAGCGGTGCGTTGGCTTGCGGTTTCTTGCCGCGCGGGCTCGATTCCTGCCGCGAGCGCAGTTGAGTACCACAGTCCGTGGGTGGCCTTGGAGGAGAGGAGCATGTGTTAGTTTCTGACACATGCTTGGGTACGAGACTCGTGCTATGGACCATTGCAGCTGCTGAGCAAGCGACATCACGACCAGCGAGGCCGGCTGGGCGGTCGGAAAGAGAGGCCGGCTGGGCGGCTTCGGTCGGAAAGCAAGGCTGGCTGGGCGGCTTCGGTCGGAAGCTCAATCGGCGCGCATGGCCCGGTGATGGCCGGTGATGGCCCGGTGATGGGTTTCTTGGGCTGGAAGCCTGGCTCCTGAAGTGATAGAAAAAAGCACGCATCCTGCACACATTCGGAGTCCGGTGATGGCCCGGTGATGGCCCGGTGATGGCCGGGTGATGGCCCGGTGATTGGTTTTTCGGGCAAAATTAGAAGCTTGGAGCGAAGGGAATTCCGACCTCGGTGGGAGAGCGAAGTCGGAATTCCGACCTTGGTTGGCGCGGCTCGGCAGGCTGGAGGCTTCGATGCCACAGGGCGTGGCGCGGCTCGGCAGGCTGGCGTCCCAGCCTTGGCCCGGGCCGGGGCTCCGGCTTGACAGGGCGTCAAAGTGCCAAAAGGTGTCAAAAATGTCGGAAGAGCGGGCGACACGTTGAAAACTCTGAAAAAGGCGGCCACGATGCAGCGTTTGACGCTTTGACACTTTTGACGGTTTTGACGCCCTGTCAAATCGGAATTCCAGGGCCTGATTTGCTTTGATTTTGCAGAGCCCAAAAAGGATTTGTAATCGGCTCTGCAGGCTGGACGTCGTGGAGGCTTTGATACCAGGCCATTGTTGAGGCAATATTGAAGCGATATTGAGGCAATATTTTAGAGCGTCCAGGAAACGACCTCGTCCTGCGAAGGATTCGAATTCTAAAATGCTGCGTGCAGGCTTGTGGCTGCAACATAACGACCCCTAGGTATGCGCTGCAATTTGCCTCCAAGCTGCCTTTCAGCAAGGTCGAGGTTTGCCAAAGGAAAGCCCTTTTCCCGTTTTTGCGCCCCCCCTTTTTTTTGGACCTTCTTTTTTACCCTGGTTTCTTAGCCTTGCAAAGTCGTTTGGGGAATAGCCTCTAAAGAGAGAGTCTGAGTGGTTTTGCGCCGCCCAATTGCACGAATTAACCGCTCGGATACCACTCGTGCAATTGAGCACAAAATCACTTGGAACTCGGAATACACTTTGGCAGCGCAAAACCACTCGGGAACCACTCAAACATGCAATTGCGCAGCGCCAAAACCGCTCGGGAACCACTCGGAAATGCAATTTGGCAACGCAAAACCGCTCGGAAACCATTTTCAAGTGGTTCCAGAGCGGTTATCACACTCCCAAATTGCATTTCCGAATGGTTCCGGAGCGGTTCTTCTTCACTGTCAAGGACCTAGACCAAGTGACGAGGAAGAAAAAATGGGACTCACGAAGGAATCTTCTATCTTAGCTGCATTCATATGTGAGTCCTCAATTGGATGAATCTTTAGAAGACAGACCAGCTAAGGTAAATCAGAAGATTAGGAAAGAAGATTAGTAAACACATGTCCAATATTAACCCCACTCAAACATCCAATTAGGCAGCGCCAAAACCGCTCGGGAACCACTCGGACATGCAATTTGGCAACGCAAAGCCGCTCGGAAACCATTTTCAAGTGGTTACAGAGCGGTTATTACACTCCCAAATTGCATTTCCGAGTGGTTCCGGAGCGGTTCTTCTTCACTATCAAGGACCTAGACCAAGTGACGAGGAAGAAAGAAAGGGACACACGAAGGAATCTTCTATCTGAGCTGCATTCATATGTTAGTCCTCAATTGGATGGATCTTTAGAAGACAGACCAGCTAAGGTAAATCAGATTATTAGGAAAGACGATTAGTAAAAAAATGTCCAATATTAACCCTTCATATCCTCAAGCAATTAATTATTAGCTTATGGAATTTATCTTTGTTGTTTGTTTGTCCCTTTCTCATGTGTTTAATAATCAACTTTTCATTCATAAAATATTTGTTAATAATAAAATAGTTTCTTTTCTGTAAGGACTTTCTCTTTTCTCTTTCATTTTCCT